AAAATAAACAGTATGGATTTATGAAATCCATGAAGCATTATTGTGTGTAGGCATAGTGGGGAAAGTCTGCGCTCTGGCAGAGGAATGCCCTTGGAGCTGTTGAAAGGCAGAACATACAGGATGCTTCTCTAGATGAGAACCTGCCTAACTTGGTGGCTGAAATCCACCAGGTCTATTCTGAGGGACTATGACTTTTGAGTAATGAAAAACACTGCAAACAAGCCTGCTAATACAAGTAAATTTCCTTGAATGGTAAGCTGGAGAGTAACAGGCTTTTCTTGTAAGCAGTGTTTCAAAAATTTTTTTGATACAGTTTTTATTATTTGAGAATATTTATACACTTGTTTTTCAACTCTATAATTAACATTGTARGATCATATTTTTGTGTATACTTAAAAGATCTTAAAGTACTAAATAAACATGATTTTCTTTATTTCTAATGTGAGATCTTTGACGAATTCAAAAGATACTTCTAGGTAAAGGCTTTGGAGTAGGTATAATACAATGGTTAAATCTGTGGATTTTGAATGTTATTCTTATTTGGAAGCTAGTGTGACCTTGATGTAACTTTGGATAAGCTACCTCATCTCCAAGCCTCAGGAATAATATAGTACCAGTACCTTAGTTTTATTATTAAGTATTAATTATTCGTGTATTTTTGGGTTTGAAGAACTTCTTTATCTTATCTCTAAATGATAAAGATCTGATATCTGGTTCTAATAAAGTTGAACAGCATATAAATTGCTTCACCTGAAAATGTTAAAKCTCTGTTACTCTTATGTAGTGTTAAACATGGCCTGTTTCTATTACTGCAATGTGCATAAATTTAAATATATATTAATACACATCCATAAATGTGACATCCATAATTGCAAACACCCCAAAATTCAARATGGTATGTTTACCCTGCCTTTAGACACCCCATCCCAATAGTATACAGATGAGATTATAGGAATGTTGCTCCCCAGCCCTGCTGGGGGTGTTATATAATCTCTGTTATATTGTCTTTCTGCAAGTCTGAAAAAAAATGAATTCTTAAGAAGCTACTCAGATACCTTAGGTTTTAGGTATTAACAAGAGTTTGTTATGTTTTTAATTGTTATGTTTTAAAAGTCAAGGTGTGCCAGGCATGGTGGTGCATGCCTGTAATACCAGAGACTCCGAGGCTGAGGAGTATCACAAGTTCAAGGCCATCCTCAATAGCTTAGTAAGGCCCTAAGCAAATAAGTGAAACTCTGTCTCCAAAAATAAATAAGTAAAGGTGTTATCATRATGCTTTCCCATGTACTTCATCAAACCTGTGACCCAGCAACTTCATTACTAGGTATTTATCCTTTGTAAGTGAATAGATTACTCCCTTCCSGGAAAATCTTGTACAAAAATTACCATACTGGCTTCAATTCACAGTATACAAAAACTGGAAATACACAGATGTCTAGAGCAGAAGACAGGATAAACAGAGTACTGCCTAGCCCTGGAAACAAATGAACTGCGAGTGCTGCAGCAGTAGGGTGAGTGTCTTTCGACACTGTGTGGGAAAGAAATGGGACAGAAAATCGCATGTAATTCCATTCTCTGAAATTCTAGAATAGGCAAACTGAATTGTGGTGTGAGAGAAGCAGGTGGGTGATAGGTACTTAAGGCACAAAGGATTTGATTGGTAGAAATGTCCCATCTCTTGATGTACATTCATCAAAAATGATCCAGTGTTATACTTAAGACCTCAGGATTTCACTGCACAGATAAATTATATCTAAAGTTTTAAGTGATTTTTTTCAAAATATGGGACAAAGTTATGCGAGTGCAGGTAATCACTTGAATTCAGCATTGAAAAATATGATTTTATGACCTTATCTTAGTTGTGTAAGAGTGGCTTCATTTGTTACAAATGAAAAAGTCAGTGTTGCATTTTTAGATATGCTGATCCCTGACAGGATTCTATAAAATCCATTGCAGAATGTCCAGAAGTAAAATATGCAGCCTCAGGATGTCTCATCTGATCAGTTGTTTTCTTGGAGAGAAGTCTAACATATGGCTGATAGAAGCTCTGGAGCTTCTGCYTGTAGTCAAGCTTAGTAGCAAGTTTTCTTATCTGAACTTGAACTTGAAAGAGGTAGCACACACATCCAGTTGTGTTCAGGTAGTTACAGATGCCTACTTTCTATCAAAAGCAAGACAGAAAAGTTGAAATCATCAATTATTTGTGAACTTAATTCTATAATGAACTTGATTGTCTTCTGAGGCACACAGAATCTCATGCTCTRTGAATACCAGTGGTGGTGGTAGCCTGAGTGGTGGGTGTGGTAAAGAGCAAGGGTGAAGCCCATCCTGGAGTGACAGCATCTGGGTTCAAATTCCAGCTCTGCCAGCTAAACCCATTGCTTTTCTGGAAGGCATTAGTGTAGCCTGCTRCCATAGCCCTGGCCCAGCATAACATAAATCGCTGCCAGCCAGGGACAACATTATGGCAGGTGACTCCGGACACCTCTTATGAAGGCTTGGCTACTCTGATTTTTATTCTCCTCTTGAAGTGATCTCTGTTCTATGTGAGTGTCCTGCACACTGCAGAAGGCAGGCACACATGCCTCCGCTGGCGGTGCACGCATGTGCATTTCTTCCATCAGCATTCTCTTTGGCTTTCTGCTGTGTTTGATGCTGAATTACCACCTCATGAGTAGTTACTTTTGTCATTCAAAAGAAGCAGTTCCATTTAAACATGTTTTCAATTTCCTGTTCTTTCCAAAGAAGACTCTTTTGTATCTTTCTTTCCGTTTTTGATGAAGGTAAATTTGCCCTCTTTTTGCTGACACTTTGAAACTTCGGCCTCTTCTTTCTCACACTGTATGGGAGGTATAACTACTGCTGCCTTGGGGGGAAAAATGTATATAGAGTATAATACGTAATGCTTGTATTCTTTAATTATGGCATACAGATTTATTTGAACCAACTTGATAAAATTTAAAGATTAATAGTTTTTCATGAACAAGTTTAAGATGTTTTATAATGAATTGCAAATTCTTCCCTTTTATTTTTAACCAGTAATTTCTGTGTCTTTCAAAGAAATCCTGTTCACTTTTTGTTTTCATTCATCTTTATGCATATGGATGGGGTCAAGGAATARTGATCCCACATGTGCAAGTGTCATCTTGCGAAGTACTCTACTGGAAGCAGACTTGTAAATTAGGAGTGGCCTTGATATTTTCATCATCTTTTTTCTTTAATTCTCTGTGGTTTGTTAAAAGCCCATTCAGCASTTATGTTTGCTACAAATTATAGCATATGTATATTCACTAATGCCCAAGATCTTTGTATCATTATCTGTGTAACAGAAAAGGAGGAGGCCAAAAAGCTTTCACTTGTCCTCATTCTGCCCCTTTTTTTAATCTGAGAGAAACAAGCTTATTCTGAAAAATAAGTCATCGGGTCATTTTTTTTTTATATTAAATCCTGAGAATGTGGTGGGGGGAAAGCACTTAGTTTTATCCTTATCACCATCTTTAGGGACAGACTTTAGAGATGGATCTTCATCTACTGCTTCCTTTTGCTGTGGCTAAAGTTTATCCTCTTGGACTTTGACATTTGGGATTTGGAATTAAAGATTTCTCACCTCTGTCATTTAAGACAGTGACCATGGGTTTAGCTAGTTATATAAATAAGAAATAGGCTCTGTTTTAGGGGAATGTACTTCAGAGGTGGTGATGTTCAGCAGACTGATTCAGGACAGAAACAGTATAGTCTAGGGATGGCCCCATGAGAAAATAGCATTGATTGGATTTTGTTGGATAGGTAGGATTTGGAAACGGGGGAGTAGAATGACATGAAAAGAAACATTGGCAGTAAAAGAATTTGCAGAAATGAGTGACAAGAGGGAGTGATCTGGTTTGACTTTTAATATTGGGCAAGTATGTGAAATTATAGATAGAAGATTAATAGGTTTAACTTTAGGTGGTAGTTTGGGGCCAGATCATAGGTAACTCAAACCTTATATTTTTAGATAATAAGAAACTGAAAGGGTTTGAGACATGAGATTGTTGAGAAACATTGACAATTGTGTTTGGGGCTATTTTTCTGACCCCTGAGTATAATTTGGGTATATAGATTTAGTAACTGTCACCATTAATAGATTATTCAAACTTGGGCCTCTTCTTTCTCACACTGGAAAAAGAAAAAAGATGATAAAAATATCAAGGCCACTCCTAATTTACAAATAAGTACTGTATTAATAATGACTTGAACAAGGTCAACAATAGTTCATGGAAGCTGGGCATGGTGGCGCACAACGCCTGTAATCCCAGTGGCTTGGGGGGGCTGAGGCAGGAGGATCACGAGTTCGAAGCCAGCCTCAGTAACAGCGAGGCACTAAGCAACTCAAAATAGGGCTGGGGAAGTGGCTCAGTGGTCGAGTGCCCCTGAGTTCAATCCCCAGTACCCCCCCACCCCCAAAAAAAGTTAATGGAAGGGTAGAAAGAAGCCAAGGTAAAATAAAGTGGCTAAATGTTTTGATGATCAGAGATGATCTGATTTTATGTTTGTCTTTGTGGCATAGTTTTTATTAGTGCCCTTTTTAGCTTTGGAAATGTTTCCTGGTTGGGAAAGTAAGTCATGTGGCAACCCTAAAGATAGTGTTTTCTTTTACAGTGCTGGGGATCTGTATTTCTTTTAATGAACATATCTGAGTTTTGGAATATTCATTGAAGTAATACATTCTAAAGAAAACATACTATATTTGATTTTTGTCTCACATTTTTATTTATTCCCATTTCAAGGCAGCCACTGGCCATTGAGAATGTCTTATGTAGCCACATGCCATCCCTGAGGAAATAGGCTTTAGAATGTCAGAACCTTAKGATTCCCAGGTCCCAGGTTTTTGTTTGTTTCCTCCTGATTGAAGTAGGTCACTATAGTCACATGGTATCTGATTTAAGGCTTGTGTGTAGATCTAGCTATGTTGTTTGTGGAAAGTCTAAATGCTTACTGCTCTTGTGTTCTTCCACACACAGGCAGAAGGAGAAGACAGCCTGAAGAAGATGCAGCTGATGGAGCTTGCGATTCTGAATGGCACCTACAGAGATGCCAACATTAAATCACGTAAGGATGAGACTGAGGCCTAGGGTTGTAGCTGTCTCTGTTGTTTTGTCTACAGACTTCTTTTCACAGCATAACACAAGAGCAATTAAACTGAAGAATTGAAGTAATTGTGTCATTGAACAGGGGAGCATCAGTCCTATTTTTAATGCTTTCATGAATTACTATCCTCTCTTGATTTTATTGTATGCCAGCATATCGAAGCTTTAGGTTTGTAAATACTTCTTTATTTTTCTGATGACATTTTGATATCTAAATTCAAGAAATTTCCTGTTCTGTACAGCTTCAAGGCCTCCAGTTTATTTTGTTGTATTTATGCACAATACAAGACTTTGAAAGCTTTTTTTAGAAGTTAAAGTGTTACTGGATGAATGACCCTTCTRTTGAGTACTTTCCTGTCCCTTTGCTTGCATGTTCCCCCTCCTCCGGTGTTTTCCCTGTTGAGTTCACACGTGAGTTCACAGAGATCAGTGGGTGGTGATAACTATTTCCAGTCTTCTATTTTTCTTCTTAGAAATCTGTGCATGATTTTAAAAGCTATGAGGATTTCTTTTTTAAATTTAAAATGAAATTTATATTTTGAGATAATCTAATGGTCACACATCATATAAGCATAATATTATTTTTCATTTACTAATGATTTTAAGAAATAAATTTTAAAGTCCTCACCAACTTTCTAACATCTAGGCAACTCATTGAGTTTAGAAGTGTAATTATTTTACAAGTGGTAATTTGTAATTGACTTTAATTTATGCATGAGAATGTGAGCATATCATTAATGTCATGAAGTTAGGATCTTTTTATATTGTTTCTTTTTTCTAAGAAGTTAACTATCAATGCTTCAGGATATACATATGATCATCTAGTGGTTACTGGTCTGACTTAATACAATGAAAATTATTCTTTCTTTTAATTTGAAACTGAAGTTACACTTACAAAATATACCAAAACTGTTTCTGTGGACTCCAAATTACAAATTTTTTTGTAACATCTTTTAATGCAAATGTTTTCTTGTGCTTCTGCATGCACCTTTAGTTTCAAGAAATCTTAAAAAGCAGATATATCAAATATATAAACTAAATATAACATTTTATTTCATTCATTTTTTTTTACAGTGGCTTTTAATTTTTGCACATTTGTTCTTAATCACATTGGGAAAGGGAAAGCTGATTGCGTTTGATTGGTGTGCTTTGGCATTTTGTGTGATCAGTGCATGTACTAATGATTTCCTTTTATTTTTCTTCTTTCCTGCTTTTTTCTTTCTTTTTCCTACTCCTCTCTCATTTTCCCATATTTTATACTGCTGTCCCTGTACTTCTTCCTGAATTTCTTTGCTTACTGTAGCAGCCCTTGCCTTTTCTCTTGCAGCAACAGCCCAGGCTGCTCCAAGGATCATAACTGGGCCTGCGCCTGTCCTCCCACCAGCTGCCCTGCGTACTCCTACGCCAGCTGGCCCTACCATAATGCCTTTGATCAGACAAATACAGACCGCTGTCATGCCAAACGGAACTCCTCACCCAACTGCTGCAATAGTCCCTCCAGGGCCCGAGGCTGGGTTGATCTACACACCCTATGAATACCCTTACACGTTGGCACCAGCTACATCAATCCTTGAGTACCCTATTGAACCCAGTGGTGTTTTAGGTAAGTTCTTCTTCCTGGTGGTCAGTGATATTCTTCATACATTTTGTTGCCCAGACTTAGAAATTATTTTAACAGTTTTAGAGAAGCGTTTCTGCCCCTTTTAAGGGTTCCCCTGTTAAATAACTGCACCCAAGTTTGTTCAGATTCACTTGATAACTCAAATTCGTTTGTTTGGGTAAATTTGCAATGTACATCGTAAACAAAAAATAACTTTCACATCTGACAATACTAGAATTGTTCTTGAGTTTTATTTAGGTTTCACCCAATTGTCCTAATGCCTTTATCAGCTCCTCCTTCTGAAGTTAGATTTCTTTTGACTCATGGGTTTCTTTAATGGCTAGTTAACTTCTAAACTTACCCATGAAAGTATTTTGAGATTTTTATGAAATTTATATTATTGGGTGCTAAGTATTTATGATCACTTTAAATGGGACCATATTATTGGTTGCAATCTTAACTGAACTTTGAATTTTTTGTCTTTTGAAGACCTAAGATGAAACATGAGACAGCTTTCAGTGCAGTTTGGAATAAATGAGTAAATATGCAGTTACTGAATTCAGATTCCCACTGGAGGCAAAAATTAAGGTCATACTGTAAACGCTTGGTTTTTACATGAACATGAACAAAAAGTGGTGTGCTCGAAAAAGACATTACTGATGCCTTTTTTTTATAGAGTGGATTGAAATGCCAGTCATGCCTGATATTTCAGCCCATTGACTTGCTGGATGAAGGACTAGAACACAGCAGCTGTTCTAGCACGACCAGTCAGTGTGGGACAGCTGTTTCCACGCAGCCCTTTTGTTTCACCAGACAGAATCTGAACACTTTCTTTCCTGAATTGTATATGACTTGGTGCTGCATGCATGCTGTTGACTTTTAGGACTTTGTTCTTTTRAAGTTTATTTTTCCCAAGCATTAATATTGATTTCTAAAAATTTGAAAATCTTTAATGAACCCGGATATTAAGATTTAAGCTCGAAAATTCATTGTTCAATTAAAGAAAGTCACAATGCTCTGTATGTTATCTGTGTGTGTGCATGCACTCAGGTGCCTTTTGTTTTATGAACAAATACATTTTATTGTACATGTTTTCTGTCTAAATCATTGTATAAAGTAATTACAGGTCAGAATTATACCACAGAATATTGATGAGAGGCTTGTTTCTGTTGCACATTTCTTGAACATTTTTAAAATAACATGTAACCTATAACCTTATTTAAGTTTTCCTTTCTATTAATRCTCTCTCCTGTGGCCCCATGCATGCTCCTTCCCCCTAGAAATCCTCTCTGCTGCACCCACAGCATGTGTTCCCGAGGAGTTAGGACCCTTAATTTTCTGTAGGGCTGAGGCTCTTAGCCACCAGCTACTGTTCCAGGACTTTTGAATCCAAGATCTCCCTCGTTTTGCCATGTAGTATTACACTTGTATACAATTAGTTTATCCAAGATGAAAAAGGGGGTGATGGACCAGTTTACTGCTTAGAAACAGCAAGAGGCACTGCTGTAAACTTTGTTTCTTATTATAAACTAACATGCTTTTGTTTCCATTGGGAAATTTTTCATTGTTAAGACCCACTTATTAGACTGGCAAAATTAAGAGCAAAATACGGAGATACTTATTTGGCATTCATAAAGTGATTAATAACATGCACCAAATTGGGAGGGGGCTATCATWATCAGTGTTATTTATTGCTTTGCTACCTAAGCAGTAAAACATGATATTGACCCCTAGGAGAATAGAGGGGATTATTATTATTAATTACCAAGTTACAATAAATTTGCACACAGATAACATGCATGCTATATAGCAAATCTCACATTAAACGATTTTAAAATAAGCAGTGCCTTTCAAAACAGATGCAGACATGTGTGTTGGTGGTAGTGAGGAGATTGGTATTAGCATCAAATCTTCATTGATGACTAATTTTTAATTCCCTTCCTTTTATCTTTAGGTATGGCTTTCCCAGCGAAAGGCTAAGAATTCAAGATCGGTCTTAACTGAACCCTCATCAGATCTGAATTTAACAAATGCTTAGTCTCAGCAGCCTCCGGGGAAAAAGCTTAGCCTAGCAGTCAGTGGCTTACTTGCACTTTTTGCACATAGATATAAAGTAAAACCATGTTATTAATTTGGTTTAGTCTGTAATATGACAAAGTAACGGTAATTTATAAAGGAGTGTATAGTAGTGTACTGACTGCTAAGTGTACTATACTGTTTGCTTTACTAATCACCTAATTCATTGCAGTTCATACTTATTGACTCAAAGTTTTAAACCACAATCTGTAGGCTTTAAGAATTGCTTTTAAACCTTTTTAAATAATAAACTCTGGAAGTGGTCTTAAGGTTAGCAAATAATTGTCAGTATTAAACATGGCATTATTTAAGTAGTCCTGCTGCAAGAAAGGCACTTCAGTGAATATGTGACTAGTAAAGCTCAAATATGTTTGGATCTAATAGAGTTCACGAAATACTGTAACTTGGGGATTGTAAATGAATGGATAAAATAGGTTAAGGCCAACATGTTTGAAATGAATGCAATATTAATAGATGCATATATATGTGACATATAATGGTTAATTTTAAAACTACTGTGCCTTAACGTGTTTCTTAAAACAAACTTTTGTAGTAAATGAACATTTGAAAGAAATCCATTTTGATAAACCTGCTGTTAATGTTTTTTTCCCCTTCTGTATGTTTTCTAACTTTGTCTTGGTAATTGCAATTTAACTAGGTGCGGTGGCTACTAAAGTTCGAAGGCACGATATGCGTGTCCATCCTTACCAAAGGATTGTGACCGCAGACCGAGGTTAGTTTAGTTCTGCAGTTCTTGTTTATAAGAAATGCGTTGGATGTCCATAAAATTTGCAACACCACACCTGATAGAAAAATGTAACTGCTTACCTGTACACTGTTTCTTTTCCTTTTCTAAATTCGTTTATAATTTAAGGGTTGGGTTTTTTGTTTTCTTTTTCTTTTCTTTTTTTTTTTTGCTCCCTTTGTATTTTAACTTATTGAATCTTCTATTCCTATTACTATGATTTATTTCTACTAAAACATAAATTAGTCAATTTGGGGAACTATTAAATTTTTATTTTGCCTTAACTATTTTTCATTAATAACTTTTGCTAAAATTTACCTTTTAATCATTCTGAAATTTTGGGTTGGTATTGCAAAATGAATTGAATGGATGGTGCTTTAATGAGAGAAGTAAAGGAATATATGCCTCCTGTGTACTTTTGGAGAAAACTGAAGATTTAGTTTCCATTTCTCTTTGTAATAAAACACTTGAGCCACTGTATAAACATGAGGGTATACATGTCAAGTACTTAGCTGAAATCAACAAAGTCAGGACTGTGAAGATAACTTTCATGTAGTTGGATTTTTTTTTTAATAAATTAGAAAATCAGCTCCCTCTTACTCTTACATTTTCTTGCCAAAATGGATCCTTTGATTTTTGTCATTTGCTGCTAAAATATTATTTGAAGGTAGATGATCTCCTCAAGTTCTGTGGTGTGTGAGATCCAGCTTTTGGATATCCTTTTGGACTGACCTGTGACTGGAAAATAAGTCTTCATTTTTCTCCTTTGAACATTTGTAATTTGTGTCCTATATTTGCCCTTGGACCCTTTTATAAATTATTTATGCTTATGGAGAAGTGATATTTTCGGTTTATTGACATTGAATGGTTTTTGTTTTTTCATCAAAAGATAGGGAAACCCAAGCATGGTTGAAAAGCATCTTCAGAACTCTTCTGTTAGAATACATTTATTACTAATTAAATGGGTTAAAGACTCTTAATATTATTAGGGGAAAGCGATGAATTTATACTCCATTTGTACATCCCTTATCAATTTGATCAGACAAATATAGACCACTGTCATACCAAACAGATCTCCTCACCAAACTGCTGCTCCAGGGCCCAAGGCTGGGTTGATCTACCTAGTGCGTCATGGTTACCTGGAGTACTAATGATAAACACTGGACACAGTTGTTGTCCACATTAGAAATAAAAGATTTTTCCAGTGACCTTGATGACATTTATTTAGCATCACAATAATGAGAGACCCTTATAAACTTTTAATGAATATAATTCATAGTGATTTTTCAATGAACTCTGAGTAGTAGACTCCAAGTTCAGTGATTATCTATGAAAATAGTGCTCCTTTTTAAAGAAGTATTTTCATTTAAGATTTTTCTATCCCTGTATGCCCTTCTTTCAGAGACTTGTCTTAATTTTAACACAGTAATTATTGGTTTATTTATTACTCCAATGCCTTCAGATAGTTGAAAATATTAGAGGGAAGATTTTATTAAGTATTTGGAAAACAACAACACATTCCATGCATGGCTCTTTTTTGTAGTGATGTGTATTTTGATTAATTTTGCTACTTTCAAAATGCAATGTCAGCAAACCGAAATGCTTTTTTTTTTTTTTTTTAATAGTAACAATATTCATTCATTCTTACTATCACTATGTGCACTCTTTGGGTCTAAGGGAGATGTCTGAAGCCTTCACTTAAATTATTTTATTATACTACTGTTTTCTCTATTTTTGAGGTTTTTTTTAATTTTTAAAAGTATTTTGAAGAGAACTTATTATAAGCATTTTGGATGAAAGAAAACTCAGCCCTTGAACATATAACCATGTAATTCTATATGATCATTTAGAGTACTATGGGATAGACAAATATCTAGTTCTTTACTAAAAATAARCCCACCTCTATAAATATTTCAAAACTAAATTTAAAGCCTTTAAGACCAAGTGACTTTTTAGTTGTAATGAGCTATATAAATGGTTTTGCACAGTTGACATACCTGTGTATACTGTATGAGACCAGGACTTGGCAGAGGATATATTTTAGGTGTACTGGTATATATAAATGGTAGTTTGCTTTGTTTTTCTACTCCACAGCCCCCACAATCAGAAATCTTTCTAAATAATGATTTTACAAAAACCATTACTTACATAATTTGGATGAGTTTAAACCATTTTAATCAGAATTTTAAGTAATATCTAAAATGCTTTAAAATTCATATTTTGGAATACCTGTGAAGAAGTAGTGTGACTACATCATATTAAATGTTTATTTTCTCCTTTGAATTTTGGAAGACCAGTTCTGAAAATATTAAATAAAATTCTACTTTTTAAGACATTCAGGGAAGATTTGGTCACAATGATGATACCATATTTTTGTAGTATTTATAAACTATCCTAAATGATAGACTATAGTAGAAACATTTTTCTCATATGAAGGTAAATCAGTCCATCATAGAGATCCTTTAAACTCTGTGAACTTTATACCTGCTGGGTTTCAATTTATGAAGTGGCACAGAATCTTAACTTTGCACTGAGTATCTTTTCATTCATATCTCCTCTGCCTTAGTCACATGGCAACAGTACAGAAAATTCTATCAAACCTCAGAATATAGTAGAAATAATTAAGCTGTTGAATATGAGTCTTAAAAATCATACTACTGTTAAGTGGACCAAGTTTGGTGAAGCAGAATGTGACAGAGGTTGGTTAAGGAAGGAACAACTCAAGGACATTGGGAATGATAACTTTTCCACTTGAGAACTACTTTGTTTTACTGTAATTTAAAAAAAAAACAAAAAACAAAAAACTTTTTTTTTTGTTCTTTTTGTTATTTTGCAAAAGAAAATAGTATTTACAGGTGGCTTCTTTTAAAATATAAAAATATAAAGCAGGAATGTATATGAAATGTCAGATTTTATTGTATTTGCAGAGTATTAGCTTTGAAATTGAATAAAGAAAGCTGTTTGTAGACTTAAAATGCCTTATTGGTATCAATTAGAAATTTCTTCTATTTTTTGATGTACTTAGAGCTCTTTGAGGTATAGAATTTTAAATGGCAGGATTTTACAGTGTTTACATGCAAGTGCATTTTATAAGTGTTCTATATGTGTAAAATAGTATTTTCAACTGGAAATTGTTGGCCAGTGCAGAAGGCCTGGCCTTTTTCTAGTTCCCATGATGTTGCCTACACTGCTAGACTACAGTATTGCTTTGTATCATGAGGCCAAGAAACTCCATGTTGTTTGTAAATAGAATAATTGAAAAAGCAATAAACATTTATTGAACAAAAGAAACCTTGTTTGGCCCAGAGTTTATGTTGAACCAAATTGCTCATAGAAATTTAAATTTCTTTAGATTCATTTCTGTTAATCATCAGTTATTAATAATCACATCCATCATTAATAGTTGCTTTAATGCTTGCATCTGAGAGAGTACTAATGCTTAATAGCAGTCAGATACTGATAACTGCACTGACTGTTCAAAATTCTGTATATCAAATCTATTCATCATTGTTTTCCAATTTCTTTCATTGACTGCTACTAACTATTAGTTGTTAGTTGTATTTTATTTCTATTTTTTCTGTTAACCAATTTTTTTTCTTTTGTGGGAGTGGGCTCCTCTTCATTTGTTCAAATCATGATATGAATTGTCATGATTTTTATTGTATTCTGTAGATGGTGTCAATCAGTTTGTCAGAATTAAACATGCTTTTTTTTTTTTATTAGTTGTGATTAGTTTTTCATGTTGTCATTAAGCCGTCACTAGCTGAAACTAATCTCTTCTCTATCTTTTCTTTTCTTTTTTTTGTTTTGTTTTTTGTTTCTAACCACCCAGCCGCCACCGGCAACTAACCTATGACCTTCTGACCTCTGAACTCTTCACCCAATGATGACCTGACCATGCCTGCCTGCTGATCAGTTAACTGGTAATCGCCTTTGCTTGCCTGTCGTCAGTGCAGCGAGCTGAGGCACTTGTCCGTTCGTCTTACCATCTAACCAAACAAAAGACAAAGAAATTGTTGTCCTCCAACTCAGCTTTTTTCCCCCCGTTTGGGTGAAAGTGGTTCTAGAACCTGCACTGAATAGTAGTAAAGCAATAAGGCCCAATTCATCCCACAGCACTGATCATCTTTCAATGTCCCACCCCAAGCGAACGGTAAGAAGGCCTCCTTAAGAAGGGAGACAGATGGCCCTTAACTACTCAGTGACAGAGGCAGTTACTGTGAGAGACTTCTAGGAAACTTTTCTTCTCATAGCGAAGTCAAGCTCTCTCTGAATGTACTGTGTGATGATGCATCATGCATGAACCTTTGGTCAGGGACGTCATTGGTGAAGTGATTCAAAAAGTATTCAAAATTTGATATACTGTTCAGTCACTACAGTGCCCTCAAAGGGCAGAAGTTGCAGCCTTTTTTATATTGCCTGCCAAATTTGAAGTATTAGMAGAGTGTGCCATGAAAGAAAAACTTAACAAGAAGTTTTGAAAAGTAATGCAAAGAACAAAACTGCAACACTATTTTTTAAAAGATGGATATCTGAGTTAAAATTACAGAACCTTTATTTTACACCTCCTTAAAAAAATTTTTGAGAACAAGGTACATGCATTATGTGTCACATTACTGGGCAAACTGTTCAAGTATTTTTTTTAAACCTCCCTGTATAGAAAAAAATCATTAAGGATGTAAAAGCCATGCTTGCCTATTTGCTGTATACATGTAATGAAATTGTAGATAAAGTGTAGTGCATTGAAACAAATGAACAAAAAGTAGATACTTTTACTATACAAGGGTGCTGGTGCAGAAAAAAATATATATATTTTTGGAAATGTAGCATTTTATACTTTCAAGTGTTATAAAAAAAAAGAAAAAGAACAAAGAAACCCTTTATTTCATTAAATGATTTTTTCTGGTGGTTGTCAAGAAACAAAAGACCAAAAGAGCCTTTTTGTCTTTCTTTTTTATTTTTTAAATATTGGAATAAGTCTAAAGAAAAGAAAGTGCCTTATTTTCCTTCATGGTCATTTAGTCAAGTGTCTTGTAAGATCAGCTCCTCCCTCAAAATAAAAGTAAATGCATGTTACTCAGTCGCCCAGTATGTGAAAGAAGATGAGAGGGGGACAAATGAGTTGAGGGTTTGAATTGTATGATTTGTGCCACGTTACCTTGATGCAAATTTGCCAAATCTGATACTGTGAAAAAAAATTGAATAACTTTTCTAATATCTGACCTAGTAAGTTTTTAAAAACATATCATAATTGAGTATTTTTGGTTGTTACAAACTTCAATGTTAACCTAAAGAATTCTGAAAAATTATGTGAGATCTGAACACCAGTTGACAGGCAAAATTAGAGCTTATTGTATTTGGAGATGAGAGATGCATTGGATTTTTTTCGTAATGGAGATAATAGTCTACTTAGCAAACTTTTTCACAAAAATCAATTTTTTTTGTGACTTTCATTCTGGAAAAAATAGTGTTTTTAAATGACCCAAATTTAATGAGACTTGTTTATAGCATACAGATAACTGGCATAGTCAAAGTCCATCTTCTGCTGGCTTTAGCAATCTCCCTTCTTCTTCCCACATATGCCCTTTTTGCCACCTTTTTTAACTTCAAAAGAATGTGAAAAAGTAGCATCATTGTGCATATGAATACTGAACTACATTTCAGTTTAAGCTTCCAATTTCTCACGAAGTGCAGTTTTATAGTTGAAACAATTTGCATTTAAAGGCTACATGTAAACACTTGAGGAAATCATTAACTGCTCAGTACCAGACGTGGCAAATCTCAAGTGATAGTGGACTCCCAGCTCATCAGCTCGTTCCCTCTTCCATACCTTCACAGCTTCATAGTCAAGGTCAGCAGGAAACTCAGTTGGCACCTTCATGGTGGCCTCTCCATCAGCTGTCTGTCTCACTTGGAACCGTTTTCAGTTTATTTACTATGCAATAGACAGTTGTTGTTTTATATTCAGCTAGTTTTGGTTTAATGTGCCACTGCTCTTTCTGTTACACATGCCATTGTTTTGATTTATTTACAATATATGCCTTGCCATTTTGATTTTAATTTTGTTTGGTTGGTTGAATAAATTGCGACACTCAAACACTTGAGGTGATAGTTAAAATGATACCAGTATTTGATCCAGCTTCATCTCAACTATGTTAAACCTGGACATTTTAGATGTTTATCAAAGGTCTTTTATGGGGAAGAAAGTAAACGTATGAAATAATAAAAGTGTGACATGAGTAATGTTGGCTCTGAACAAACTTTTACTTAGTTGACAAAATTTTGGATCAACTTAAAAGAAGCATGACTTTTGAAATCTGAATGCCTTGGTTCTCAGTATTATCATTCTTATTGAATTTATTTCTTGTTAAAGTATGTAGTTTTTAAGACTTTTTTCTGACAGTATTATGTAATTTTTAGTGTGGGTAGATGGGAGTGTCGCTGGTATGTTAATGTACAGCTGACATGTATTTTTGTCTTCTTTATTATCTTAGTAGTTTTCATGCTCTATATGTACCATAACCAACCTATTGCCTATGAGAAACATGTAAGATAATGTATTTACAGCCATTGTTACAAGTTTATAATGTATTTTTCTATCTTGTTTTATATGTATGTTATATAACATTCAAAAAGAATTTTTTTCTTGATTGAGAAAAGGATACAAAATGCAAAATCCACAATTTTGATAACTGAAAATTGCCAATTGTTTTGCAGTACTTTATTATATTGGGTGTCTTGTCTTTCTTGGGCTTTTAGTTAGCTGATGAATGAATACATTAATTAGACACTTTTGGGTTTTAGTTGGGATTTTACATAGCTTGCATTTTAATTCTTTGGTTCTTTGCTGTTTCTATTAACCCATAGCATTATTTTAATAAATGTTATAATACCAACCTACTAACTCTGGACTATGTCTGTTTATTAACCTTTACATGTTTAATTAAAATAAACAAATAAAGACAAAAGAATGTAAAGTCTTGAGTTCCTGGACTAACCCTGAAGACCGTGACCACAGATAACCATAGCGTGACTTGTTTTGTGTTGTTTGTCAGCTGACAGTTTCGCACACTACTGTTCAAATGGCTTTGGTTATTCTGGCCTTCTACTTCGGGTCTAGGTGCCAGTGGAGATGAGAACAAAGTAGCATTCGTTCGAGGCATTCTTCTCCTGGTCATGCCACTTGCCTTTCAGCATCTGCATTACTAATTCCACACTTTTTATTTTTTCCTTCTCCAAAATAATCACTGTCTGCTCACAGCATACAGAGTAGAGATTCAATGTGATGACATGCCCTGAGAAAACAGTTTCATTCATTGAACATTCATTTTAATTTCTATGAGTAGGTGATTTTATAGTCACATCATAAAGCAGAGAATTTTTGTATTAAGATGTTTATTTTAACATGGTATTTTTCCTTTGTAAAGCATTGAATTTGTTTAGCCAGCTGTTTCTTTTAGAGGAATTGACGTAGGTAAGGCTAGAGGCAAATTGGGTCTGTTTTTCCTAATAGTGCAGAGTAAGAGATGAGTAACCAGGATGATGCAGCCCCACCTCTTCCTCACCCAGCCTTCAGTGAATGATGGAGATTTTCTCAGGTGTTTTTTCTGACCCACTTCCAAAACACAGCCAAGATTGATGCAAGAAATTTAAGAGGGAAGAACACTGAGATTTGAAATGTTAGGTGTGATTAATTTCTTGCATGCAAATCAATCTGAGAAGATTTCTTAAATATCCTGCTTTTCGTGGCCTGTGTAAGTGGACCTCTAAATCTTGACTTCTTGAGGTGTGTTTATGTCACAGATTGGTAATAGCCTTTTCTGTGAAACAATTCTCCTGCATAAGAAAAAAAAAATTCTCAGGATGAATTTTGCATTTGTAAATAGTGGTTTATTTTTGTAAATTATATTTTATTTATTTAAGAGTTCTAAAATTTAGGGCTGAAATGAGTTACATGTAATAGTCATAATTATATCGATGTGCTTCTAACCAGATTATCAAGATATTTCTTGTTTCATATATGTATATGCRTATATGAAATTATCAGAATAGTGATAATTTAATCACCAATGAAAAGGTCATTTGGGTTATGTCATTTCTCTGATGGAAAGAGTAGGCAGTGTATCATTGTTAGGTAGGCAGATCTTTAATATGCTATTTACCTGTTGAAGTTCACATTGCCATAACAAGTTTTCATGTATCATTCTGTGAAAATTTGAAGATGCCTGTCAAGCTGCTAATACACCAGTTGTGGTACCATGTCACTTAAAGTGATGAAGAATTTCTATGCAACTTGCTATTCTCTGAAGCCTATGAATGCAGTCTCATCTCATTTTCAGTTAAGGGTACTTTATGTATAATTATGTCATATTGTCACCTTTTATGTTGAAAATGTTGTAAAAGACAGTTTTAAAGGGTGAAAATAATACTGCAAATCCCATTTTTATACAGGTTGCAATAATATTAAACATGAAACTATCAAGTTGCTGGAGTGGTAAAATTCTGGAGTTTATTGCTTGATATTGTTATTTGATAAAATGATTGATAGTTGAGTTTTCAGTCAAAAAAGTTGGTAAAATTAACATACTTAAACATTCTTTTCCTTTAGGTACAAAATGTCAGGAAGAACATATGAAAGTACATGTTTGCATACAACCCTAGTCAATAGTTTTTGTGTTAGGATACATGTGAGCAGTTACTGAAGCATGTTGTCCATAAAACAGAAGATTTACGCATGATATACAAGAATAATATTTGGTGAAGTTTTTCAGAGTAACTAGATCAGTGTAAGGTGTCATTTTCTAGTGCAACAAAAGCAGATGATCGATTAAACCAATGGCTGTTTGTTGCCAATTTCTGCCAGTGACGTATGACACTTTGATATCCTACATGTGACAGTTGGAGGGGGGCATTCCTTGCTTGTTTGGCAGGGGATGCCTGTCTTCATTAACTTATTTATGGACTCCTATTTTAGAAATATTCATGGCACACAATTTTTTCTATGGTGTCTTCACTATAAAATTATGTAAACTGAAGTGCCTTTGTTTTGAAGAGACTTAAAATTATATATACAACTAGTACTCAATGGTGACTCTAACACAGTGCCTCCTCCTGTGTTGTTCCTGCACTTAATGCTGTGGGTGGAGAGGGGGAGGAGGAATGACTTTGGTAAGCAGAAGGTGGTGGTGGGTGGAGCAGAGAGCAACACTTATTGATTTGACATCACTTGAAATTTTGCTGTCCCTTCTTAGGAAAAGATATTACATTGYGGAATGATCTCGGTTCCCAGTGTATAAAAATCAGTTAACATCTCTTTTAAGGTGTTACTATTGAGAAGCTTTGGTCCTCAGATTTATCTTGTGGTTTATATTATAATGGTATGTATAAAACATTWGAAACTTTTGGAAATTATAGTTTCTATATATTATATACAGACATTGGAATGGGTGTTCCCAAAGCACATGTGACTCGAACAACAAAACAGTACATGAAGTGCAGTAARCCACCTGGAAAGACTGCATGTGCTTTATCTTAAGCCACTACAGCTGAAAATGCTGCCCCCMCACACATGTAAATACCAGAATAAAGAATGCAAATTTAAATTTTAATGCTTTTAACACTACTTAAAAGAAGCTTACATTCTTTAATTTTAATATGTAACTATAAGATGATCATATAACTTGCTCTAATTTTAGAAATAAGAAAAGGAAATAAGTAAATAGACTATGACRGTATTCCTCTGTTGGACTGCATATCCAAAATAGTTTGCATTTCTAGTTATCATTAAGAAACCCTGGTGCAATTTTTATGTACTTTTTAAATGTAAGAAAGCAGTCCTTAACCAATTTTTTATCTCACTGTGTGTAAAAAGTCTGTTATCTTATAAATAATACTGTTATAAAGTAAAAGATCGGTGAAATATTGTTTCCAATACTTCCTAAGATCTCTTCTTGATATCCAGTTTTGTAACTCCTTGCACTTTCCAGTCTATCTTGTTTATATAATTTCCAAGTTCTTTCATTTCCTTTCCCCCCATTCTGTGGACTCTCGATTCTCCTTGACAGTGTCCTTTTCACCTGCCTCTCAAAGTAGCTAACAGGTCGGCATCCATAGGACCAGGTAGTCTACTAGCCCAGAGACATGTCTTGGTTTGGCCTATACATGTGTTGGTGTTGGTTTTGGTTAGAGKTTTTTGTTATTTATTTATTTATTGCCTCCCCCCCCCACAATTACTTGCCAACGTTAAAAATCTAAAGGGTAAACTTAATCTTCATGAAGTCTGCTCAGTTCAAAGATCAGAGTGTCTAGAAAGCTCAAGCACATGTTTTCAGAGGAGCCTTCAGCTAAAACTGAAAACTATCCCTATTACTGCTTCCCCATCCTGTCATGCTTTTGGTCTCTCCTCTCCTGGCTCCTGTATTGCTTGTCTGTCCTAATCAGAGTGATGATGTGACTCTTCAGACACCAAATTGCCTCCTCAAAGGGGATCATGTAGAATAGATTTTAATGATTTTCCTCCTGAAAAATGAGATGAACATGGTTTCTGAATTAATCAAACATCAGTTACTGTGATTCATACGTGCTGTATTTTGGTGGAGTGAGATACCTATTGAAGTGAAGGCAGTAGATATTTAAATGTTCTTCCTATTGTGATTTTGTTTAATTATTACCTGCTGCTGTTTTCATAGCAACTCTTGGTGATATTAGAAAGTAGTACTAATTGAACTTAAGAATTCCATGTCTAACAGAAAACGTTAGTGATTCATAAAGCCTGGAGTCAAATTTTTTCAGGAAATGTGTATTAAAGTTAGATTATGCTAATTAAGTACTGTTTTGTGAAATATGTGCACCTTCATAAAAGTATCACCTGTTTGTGCTGCAGTTCCAGTTTTTCAGAACATCTCTTTGAATTAAAATGTACTGTTATCCCTGTTTTCTTAATTTATGTTCTATATATATTGGCTGCTTAACTGGATTTTAGTGAAAGTTATGGGGAAAATGAATATGAATAAAAGAAGAAAACAATTGGCAAATAAGTATTTTCTTGCAGGAAATTTGAGTTATTAAAATGTCAGTATTAAAAATTTTAAGATCACTTATCTAACTTAGAACTTGTGTCAAGGAATAAGTAAAAATGCCTTGGCTGTCCTGGAAACCTAAGTTTTAAAAGCTGCTCTTACCTSGTATTTTAATTGATGTATTCTACAAAATTAGACCAGCAGTACAAAAGGAGAGTTGACTTAAAGTCTACATTGATAAATGAAAATTTTGTTCATTGTTTTTTCACTGATGTAAAAGGACATTTAAAAATTGTTCAAAAGTTTAAACCTACTAGGTTTCCAGATGGTAGGAGAGTGGAACACTTGAAATGGGTGAGTAGAGTGCAGTGGGAGAATATCTGAAACAGGGTTTAAATTGGCCACAGGGAAGAAGCAGAATTTGACAAAATCTACAAGTGGTCTGTCCTCTAATAAGATTTTGTTCAGTACCTCCCATCTCTCTTTGGGTTTATAATGAAAGCAACAGGCATGGAGAKAAACAAAGGGGGAAATGTAGTAGATGTTTTATCGTGTGTCTTCCTAAAGGGCATTGCCTTTTCCTTGAATTGTGGGCAAATCTTTGTGACAGATTTGTCACAAATGACACGCACTACTCCACTGATACGGTGTATGCTTTTAAGCTAGTAAATGCCAACTGGCTTGTAAATGCCCCTATTCCAACCTGCTCCTTGTATTCTGCTAAAGATCTCTTCACCTCCGTCCTAGAGTTTAGTCAAKGAGTTCTGAAGTCCAAAAGCAGACGGAGCTGTTGTAAAAGGAAGAAGTACTTGCCAGGAGGATAACTGGTTTTAACTGCTGAAACACATCTGCTCTGTTCTTGCCTATCAAACTCCACATTTGCGTGGCCAGAGTGTGTGTTGAGGGAGGTATTGGGGAACTCCTTACATCCTAATGCAAAGAAGAATACTACTTCTCTTCAAGTCTGCATTGAACAGAACTGATTGGAAGAATAATAGAAAAAGCCCCACAGATTTCATCCAAATAGGAAGAACATTTGTCATCCTGCTAGAAGCAGAAGTGGTACTGTAATGCATGCTATGGTATCTGCACCCTTCTGGCAGGTTGCTTGCTGTTTGGAAATCTGGATCTAAGTGAGTCTTCTGTTGAGGGTCTCCAACAGGCTGTGAGGAATGCCTTCAAATTTGCATGCATAGTAGACAAGCCACTCCTGTTAAGTTGGAACTTATTTCCCCCATGAAATTTCCTAAAAGAGTTGAAACTAGGTTTGAAATAGAATTAAAACTGTACTGGAAATGCAGAGTAAAACTCATTAGACTGTGTGTTGGAAAATGATTGTTTTAGGACTATATTGTACCCTAGTGGCTTGAAAAGTCAGACATTAGAAAAAAGGACAGTAGGAAGGATCCCCTGAGAAACCACACATGCCTCACACTCCAGCTACTTACTGATGGAAATTAGCACTCTGTCAACTTGGAGTGTTAGCTGGATATGTGGTGTTAAATGCTACAATTAGTATGAGATCAGTAATATAATTAATTTTAAAAATGGCCGTTTCACTCACTGTGCATCAAAATACACTAAAACTGATCTCTTGTGAATAAATTTATGTTACCAATTATGGCAAAGCCATGTAATAGTATAGATTAATCTTCCATTCATCATCTGTGTTCTCCCAAACACTCCTTTAAGCACCTGTTAGGGAGATTTTGCTACTGTTGTTGCTGGTGTACCCTGACCATGTCATCTAGGTAGACAGGGAGGAGAATGTTTAATTGAAGACACCTTTTATTTCACAATTTTAGCCTCATTTTTGAAAAATTTTACAAATGTTTTACTGCCACCCATTTTCAAGGTATTCTCTTCAACAACTCTGAAATTGAAAGATTAAATGCTTGAGAGAGGCCACACACCAATAGAGACAAGGGTGCGTGTTTGTGCTGTACATTTACTCCTTTTGGGGGGGGATGGGGGTGATATAGCTTCCTTTCTACCATTGCACCATGGACTTACTTTGTCAAAAGCATCACAGTGTCCAAAAGCGTGGTGTGTTGTGAAGTACAACCTGCTGCTTTGTCTGTGTGCTTTGCCATAGGGTTGTAATGACTGGCCATTGTCCACATTCAGACATCAGTTCTGCATTTACACTATGCTAGCTTGAGATGGAATTCGTGTGTGAGTGGAGATAAGTTGACATTTCCAGCAATGCTTCTTGCCATGTCAGTTGTCTGGTTCCTTTCATCACAGGAAACATGATATAGTGGTTGGGGAGTAATGTGATTATGATGACATGTTTTTTGGTTAAGCTAGTTTTCGTAAAATTATTATATATGTGGTCCCTACTTTTTGAAAATGAGTAAATTGATCTGCACCAAGTTACTTAATATAGAGTCTAAGAGAGGGTAATGATTAAGGAAATAAGTAGATTTTTTTAAAAAAGTGATTTTGAGACTGAACCATCAGTTATA